GCTGGGGTACTAGAAAACATCAGAACTAGACAATCGTAGTCCACGCTGACCTCGAAGTTAAATTCGGAAGTTGAATATATATGTCGTGGATAACGACTTTAATAATATTAAGACACGTTTTGATTATTATTTGAAATGATAAAATGTTGTTTTGATAAATATCACAAAAATGTAGGGTAGAAGCCGTAACGCCAGAGTATAAAATGGCGATACGTGGACAGAGTCGTCTCAGGCAGGCAGTCAGTCAGTCAGTCAGTCTCGGCAGTCAGTCTGTCAGTCAGTCTCGGCAGTCAGTCTGTCAGGCAGTCAGTCAGTCAGTCTGTCAGTCAGTCAGTCAGTGTCGGTCAGTCTGTCAGTCAGGCTTTCAGTCAGTCTCAGGCAGTCAGTCAATCTCTCAGTCAGTCTCAGGCAGTCAATCAGTCTCAGTCAGTCGGTCAGTTGAAACGAAACTTACTTACCCTGTCATTGTGAAAATTATTTGTTGAGAGTTTCAATAATTATTATTCAAAAGGTTTCATTGACTATTATTGCAATAAACTAAGTTCAACCGAATACGAGTGATGTCGGAAACTGCCGTTCAGCCACCGCTGGCTCCGTCATATAGGTACAGGTATTCACGGCTTTTCTTCAAATCTAAAACCATTTCGCTGCAGAAACAAGAAAATGGTCCATCAAAACATTCCAACGTAGCTTCATAATAGGGTATGAAGTTATTGCGGTTTTAATTTTAAAAATGTTATTATAAATATATAACATTTTTATTTTATTATAAATATATTATAAATATATAACATTTTTATTAGTCTTCATTGTGGAAGCTAGGGAAGTAGGTCGCATTGGGAATGGATTTTTTTAGTGAATTCTTACGGTATTTGTTTGGTACTGATATATTATTTATTATATACGTGTAAATGTTTTATTATTGCCCTTGTAGAGAGACTAGCATATGGTCCACCTGATGGTAAGTGGTTACTGTCGCCCATTGACATCAGCAGTGCAGAGCTGAGCCGATACCGTCCGTGTAAACTGGTATTTGCGGCAATAGCGAATTCGTTCTTTTCATAAAACTGCAAATCAAACTAAAACTCGGATGCACGTTATGCCCTATCTAATGACGTAGGGCCACAATGAAAAGTAAACATTATTCTAACCTACCTATTCTATAAAAAGCATTGTGCATCGAGTGGTCCACATTTCAAATAAGACACGACCTTCAGCAATGAACAGACCGAGTCAGAAGAAGATTCTATAAAAATATACAAACAATAATTGGCACACGCCTGGCAACCCTGTAAAGATAATTCGGCCGAATGTTTTGAGCGTGTTGGTATACGCCAATTCCGAAGCTGTCCATTCATTCGAGACATACACGTGAGCAATATTTTCTCGACGAAAACAGAAAAAATCGGCCATATTTTTTTTTTATGAAAGAAAAATCAGGCTATTCGCTATTACACCATTCGCCTTCACATGCTTCTTTCTTTTTTGTATCTATGTAATTAGGACGCATTATTACTCACAAGTAAGTACTGCAATTCTTCCTATAAGGCCTCATGTCTCAAAACGAGTGGTGGAATTCACGGTTGTGGTGCCCAAACCTCTATAACACTAGACGAACCGTGGAGCATCTATCTGCCTTTGGAAACAATACAATAAGCATACAAGTACCAATTGAAATATTGTAATGTCCTTATTCGAGATGGCTTCTATTTTTTTTATTGCTTAGGTTTGTGGACGAACTCACGTTCCACCAGGTGTTAAGCGGCTACCGGAGCCCATAAACATCTACAACGTAAATGCCGCCACCTACCTAGAGATATAAGTTCTAAAGACCCAGTATAGTTACAACGGCTGCCCCACCCTTCAAACCGAAACGCATTACTGCTTCACGGCGGAAATAGGCAAGGTGGTGGTGGTACCTACCCGTGCGGACTTACAAATGGTCCTAACACCAGTACCTAGCGTAAGTACGATAAAGTAAATCAATCCGAGTTGTCCTCTGCAACAGCTGTGCCACTCTCCCAGCTGGAACGCATGACTCCTCCGCGGCAGAAATAAGCAGAACAGTGGGTAAAAACTCCAATTGAAAAAACTATAACGTAAAGCTAGTTCTAGTGGATAGAATACGGAATGAATATGTTAGAGGAAATCTGAAAGTGGCACTTGTGGCAGAGAAGTTGAAAAGTGCGCGTTTGGGAGGGTATGGACATGTGATGAGACGAAATGATAATGAGGTTGGTAACAAAGCTTTAACTGTGAGTGTGGAAGGCTTTAGAGGAAGAGGTAGACCTAAGGAGAAATGGATTGCGTGAAAGACGATATATTGTGTAAGAGGGCAGTGAGCGAAGAAATGCTACATGATAGAGGAGTATGGAAGGAGAAAACATGTTGCGCTAACCCCAGATAACTAGGAGAAGGGCAGGAGAATGATGATGATGATGATGATGATGATGATGATAAAGCTAGTTCTATATATAGATTTGGTTTATTCCTACTGTATTCGCTGGTAGCCTCACGCAGACGGTAGGTGAGCTCACGGGCTCAATATGAGAGAATTAGCTAACACTGGCCCTAGAAAGAGCAGTGCTTCGCAGAATCTATCGCCAGATCGGAATCGCGACCCACTGAGAAGATCCGGCGACAAATTCAGTGGGCTCAGACTTGGTTGAAGATTTTTAAGGGCACTCGAAATAAATCGATGGACTTGCATCTATAGGACGTTACTTCGAACTGTTATTTGAAAAGTTACCAATATTAGAGTAAGATCCCAGGGCGCCAAGACGTCACGTATTTTCTGACGAACGAAATGTGGCCGATTGCGTAGTGTTACTATGTACTAAAAACGCAAGCCTACCTGCTACCTTGCTTAGACGGCCAATTTTCAGGTATCAATCAATTAATTATATATTCAATTTAATACCTCTGTGGGTAAGAGCGCGAGGGCATTATCCACGCGCATGAGACTGAGTGAGACATGTATTAGGATATATTGACTTCTCTGTCTCTCTGTCTATTGGCGTATTCGCGACTTATTTTTAAAGATATTTCCTAAAATATACGTAAAAATCAGCTTTCAGAAAATACGTAAAGTAGGTCATGATTTTACGTACCTTGAGTACCTGATACCTGAAAATTGGCCGGCTAAGCAAGTTAGCAGGTAGGCATGTGTTAGTACAGTGCGGTTAGTACACAGTAACACTACGCAATCGGCCACATTTTGTTCGTCAGAAAATACGTGACGTCTGGGGGCCCTGGGATCTTGGACTACATAAACGATTTGGGTATTTGCATTTGTTACGAGCAATGAAAATGCAACACATATAGTCTTGTTATTATACAGTTAAAACCTTTGGTTCGTATCTAAGTCGGATATACATCTCCTTTTTTTGTAGTGTGATGAATATCAATATTTCGAATATTCTTTGAGTTGTAACTCACTGTTTCATTGCGATAAAACTAGCCGAATAATGGTATCTACTTTATGGATCTGATCACGTTCCTCACCTTGAAACATGAGGTCGAAGCCTTATATTGTATCGGATAAATGACTGGCGAGCTTTTCTAATCGGATAACCTCTTCGTGCCAAAATAGAACAGGATACAATCTGTTTTTAACAACAACAAAAAACGCAATGTTTACATTCTAATTAATATGCATTCTCTGTTAAAAGCGAAGACCTATGCGAAAGCAAAACAATATTAGCCGGTGTCAAATGCAAAAAAAATAATGAATAGTATGTACCTAAATATGAATTAGGGTTGTTAATAAAAGCTTCTTTATCTTTATCTCTGTTAAAAATCTTCTTTAAGGTATTGATTATTAAATATACTTTGTTAAAATAATCATCAACAGACAATCTCGGGTTGAAATTGAAATGCGAAATTAAATCTATAGATACGGACAGATCTCGGTTCAAATGTATTTCTCGAATGGCCTCAATATCGAGACTTGAACTATCGATAAAGAAGCTCTTTTACTGAAAATCTAGACTTGAACAGCGCGACACGAACGACACCGTCCACTTCAAAACTATGTCTTGCGTTCGAAGAATTTCGCTGCGAAATATCGAAGCCTTTGACGGCAAAGTGTAGTGGCATAAAAATATAACGAATTTTTATTTTATTTTTATTGCTATGATAAGTAGACGACGAACTCACGGCCCGCCATAGACATCAACCCGGTCAATGCCGCCGCCTCTTTGCTCTGTCTGGATGTTTATTATCTATATAAATGTATATATTTAAACATATATGTATGTTTGTCCGTCTCTAGTATCCATAACACAGGGAATCCTAAATTGGAGCTAGATGACCGTGCGTGATTTGTTTTTAGTTATTTTATTATAAACTAGCTTTTGCCCACGACTTGAACCGCGTGGAATAGTTCACAAATAATGCTTGATTTTAGAACAAATTTGGTTAGCGTAAAAACTGTTATAGTGAGTCAACCTTAACAAATAGACATGCTGTCGCGGACGTTTTCTTAGATCTTTTAAAGGGGGACAATTCTGTCATACATTATTTTAGCGAAACTTTAACCGTTTCTGCAGCGCACGCAGCGGATTCTCTTGAAAGGGGAAAAAAACGATTTTGAAACCTTCTTTCTCTATTGGTGCTCCGCTTGTATTGATCTTATCGTGATGTTATATAGCCTATAGCCTTTCTCAATAAATGGGCTATCGAGCACTGATATAATTTTTCAAATCGGACCAGCAGTTCCTGAGATTAGCGCGTTCAAACAAACAAACTCTTCAGCTTTATAATATTATAAGTAATAAGTATAGATATCAACGATTATTCTCTATGCATTCTTGAAACATTGATCTGATTCTGGTCAAATTCGGTACAGTTGTGATTATCACTTAATAGAACGATTCTATCATAGCACCAACATAATTAGCCATAACCATAGCGATGTGTGACCAGATTTATGATTGGGTAGCTAATTGTTTTTTGTTGTTTTTGTTCAAAAAAATTAAACTGAAAAATTTTCTTCCCAGGTGATTCCAGCGATGTTCCACACGGCTAGTATCTGGTTGACGTTAGCCTTAGCCGTCCAGAGATATATCTACGTTTGCCACGCGCCCGTCGCCAGGACCTGGTGAGCTTTTACGAACGCTTACGATTACAGCTTTGGGCAGAGCTTCCATCGAGCGCCCGAAATAGTTCGGTAGACTGACGGTCCGAACTTTATCGTTCTGAACTTGTATATATCCAAACTTATCTTATGAAAATGTCGTTAGCGAGATTCAGGCATCTGTCAAATATCTCGTGTTCCATAATAGCTACCCGGACACAACAAAATCACTGATTTGATTGATGTTTTTTTTATAAATGTGAATTGACAGCCGAGACCTCGGTATTAAGTGGCTACTTGAGCCCATGGACGGCGACATGAGTGCCGCTACCCACTTTGAAACCTGAAGATGGAGTCTCAGTGATATGGTATAGCGACTACCCCACCATTCAAACCGGAACGGGTTACTAAATAATTCTTAAATAGCACAGTCGATCTTGTTTTCGATCTAATGGGAGGAAATCCGGACGGGCTTTAGTCCTGACAAAGGTTATTCATTATTTTATGGTCCCTGAAAACAATAATCATAATAGTATTGTTCCAATTAGGAGTATTCTAAATTTAATTAAAACTATTTTACGATTTTACTACCACGTGTGTTAGTTTTGGTTTCATTATTTCCGACTTTTCGATAATACTTTACAGTTTTCGTTGTTATCGACAACTAAGATGTTGTTTAACAGTAGTAGCATAATAAAAAAATATCTATAAAACTATGTATTTATCTTAATTAGATCAGAGAGCGAGAGAGAGAGAGAAACAGAGAGAGAGTGAGAGAGGGAGATATAAAGAAATAAAAATGATTTCCATTCTCGTCATACGATTACGGAACCCTAAAATATTGAACAGCTTAATCGATTTCATTGCCGAATATAGTCGATTTGGCGAAAATACGTGACCTACATTAATATTATCAGATAGGAATTTCTGGTATTTCCAGCGTATCTACATCGTTGATCATTAGACCGTGGGGATATATGTCGGGTATTAGTGGAATTTCGGATATGCGAGTGTTGTGCGACACGGAGGATGCGAAAAAGAAACGAAAAATCACAAAATGCTTCCTCTGGTTTGTGTTTTCTTATCGATGTCTCAAGTTTTTCCTCAGTGAGACATGAGACATGTCATGAGACATTTCCGTTGCTTAAAGCTCGCGTGGGGATGCGACCGGACCAAACGTCCCCGTAAAACACTAATCTTTTCTCGACTTTTCAAATACAATGCGACTTTTCATATGTGCATATTACTGTTATGCGCTTCGGGTTCGGGATAAATAAAACTTCCACTGAAGTACAAATCAATACTCTATTTAACACTTAGAACACTTACAGAGCTCTTTACGATTCGTATTCAATTCAATTACTTCCGCTTCGCTTCAGGTGATCCGTTCGCTGTTTCGCTTCGAGTACTTCCGATTACTAACTGCCTTCGTGTCATCTCTGCAACGCTTTTATAGTCGATACGACATCCCTAGAATTATCGAGAACATTCTTGACAGGTCGAGTAGTTTCGATATGTGTTTCCGCTATTTGACAATAGATGGCGCCGTACTTCTCGAGCGTTCTCCGTTTTTTCTAGTTCTTTTGATGTTCGTTTCTGGTATTCGACGATAGATGGCGTTGCTCTTATCGGCGTAACATTTTTGGTACGTCTCAAGGTATTCATGTTGTGACGTCTTAGACCACCAGTAACTACTTAACAAAGTTAAACTGTAAACTCGTTAAGCTAAACGCTGAAAGAAAACCCAGTCAGTTTTACTGGTGGTAGGAGCTCTTGTAAGTTCGCGCGGTTGGGTACCACCACTCCGCCTATGTCTGCCGTGAAGCAGTAATGCGTTTCGGTTTGAAGGGTGGGGGCAGCCGTTGTAACTATACTTGAGACCTTAGAACTTATATCTCAAGTTGGGCGGCGCATTTACGTTGTGGATGTCTATGGGCTCCAATAACCACTTAACAACAGGTGGGCTGTGAGCTCGTACACCCATTAAAGCAATAAAAAAAAAGTCATCGCTTAGTTCGCTCTAACTTTCCATACGTCTATCGGAACATTATTTGCTCTAACAACTTCAGGAAATTCCTCAAGCGAAATACCGTTTTCTTCAAACAGCTTCTTTTATGTTTCGATTCTGAAAATCAATATTTCTTATATACAAACAATCTCTAGCGGCTTCTTTTGCGGAGAACGCCAAGCGTAAAGCCGATAATTTCGGGAGTCAATCACATTTTCTAGGAACGTAAAAGCAAAAAGAAAAAATCGACTAATGCTGTTCGCGAACGAATAAAAAGGCTGTTAAATTTGTTTATATTTAGTTTGTTTACACTAGCGTAGTGCGTTTCTACACACTCGTTGAAGGTTTTTTTGTTTGTATTTCGACCAGACGACCTCACCATAGTTGCTACTTTAAGCTCATCTCATCACGATTTCACTTTGAGAAGGCGGCACGACATGAGAACCCTCTTGTCGTGGCTGCCGGAATCTACACCCGATCCCGTAGACCGAATGGTAAACAGTCGACGTCGCCCAAGGCACGTCATTGCGGATCCTCCCGATCCACTAACGGTGCTTTTAGGCACCACGAGCACCGGTCACTGTCCTCGTCGAACCCGTCGCTTACGACGAAGGGCTCGACGAGCGAATTAACCCATAGACACAGCCCACTGAGTTTCTTGCCGGATGTTCTCAGTATGGGCTCCGGTAACCACTTAAAACACCAGGTGGGCCGTGTGATCGTCCACCCATCTCAGCAATAAAAAAAGCGAATTCCAACCTGAATAACTAATTACGTATTAGTAAAATCGAATGCTTAAACGAATTAATTCGCTAAATAACCGGTGTTAGCATATTGGTTTTTGTACGGTTTACATAGTTATGGGAAAAGGTTATACTTTTTGGTTGGAAAAACTTTAATACTATTGAGATTTCGTGATGTCTTCTTCTTCTTCTTCTTAGTCGAATACTTCATTGCTGAAGGTCGTGTCTTTGAAAGCCCTTCGTGACTCTTTGTAACCTCAGCTTCCACTTGCTTCGGTTTTCGGTTTCCCTCAGGGCGTTCGCCAGAGATTCACAGATAGATTCGTGATGTCTATGATCTCCAAAATTCTCTACCCATCTAAGCATTAAAACAAGATTCGTTCGCGAATGTCTCGTCCGAGCGCTATTCTAGAATGTTCGCGCAAGCATACACCGTCTTTAATGTTCGCTATAAAATAAACGGCTCATAGTTTTTTAAGTGTTGAGATGTTCAACCGAAATAATATTAACACGAGAACGCGAACCACAAATCATAAATTCTTTTGCTTCGCTTTTCTTAGAATCGTGTTGAAATCGAAATGCTATGTTTAATATCGTTGGGACTTTTACCGCATATGACAAGATATTCTTTATTACATTAGGTTAAAATTCCCATATGGAAATTCAAAATAGTTCCTATTCACTTGTATGTATCTATGTATTCGTTTTGGTAATGTAATTTATAACCTAGTATTCATTTTACTCATGTCTAATGTAATTCTTTAAATTATCGCCATGTATTAACTCCATCACAGCTACGTACTTCTTGAATCTTTCACTTCATCAACGAGGGTTAACTGGAAGAGAATACCTCCATGGCGTTGAGTTCGCCTTTGTACAATATTTTGTGCAATAAAGAATTTTCATTCATTAATTCATTCATTAATACTTGGATGACGTGTGATTTGATTAATGAATTTCAAAGTAACCCCCAAAACCAGTTCCGGAAAAAGCTGATGTTCTGTGAAAAATCTCACGGAACAAACTCGGGTTATCTTTTTTGACCGGCTGATACTAGGCTATGAACTCTTCTACACCTTTAGTCCAATATTAAGCGATTTAAAAACTCCACACCTCGCAAAAAAAATCGTAAAGTTGTTCTAAAGTCTTTAAATGATTTTAATCCCACTTTACTGATGGTAGGATGTCTTGTGAGGTACCGCACTGTTAGGTACCACCACCCTGCCTGGGTGCAGTAATTAATTTCGGTTTGAAGAGTGGGTTTTTTTTTACCCTACCCTAGTAACCTCGAGGGGTTATTCTATATACGCCGAGCTTGTAGGTGAGCTCACGGGGCTCAAACCTGACGACGTTGCTAACACGAACCCAAACAAAAGCCGTGCTTCGCAGAATCTACCACCCGATCGCAGACGTTGTAACTATACTATGACCTTAGAACTCATATCTCAAGGTGGGTGGCGATATTTAATTTGTCTATTGGCTCCAGTACTTAACACCAGGTGGGCCATGAGCTCGTCCACCCATCTAAGCAATAAAAAAAAAGATAAACTTAACATAAAATCTATATAGGCGGTGAAGTTGTGTCATTCTCTACGGAAAGCCTATCGCGTGGTCTTCGTTCACTGTATCTTTTGCCGCTTTACTGTAGGCTTACCGAAGCATTAGATACTAGCCATTAGTTCAGGAAACAAAGGTATCTTTAGCCTATAGTCGAAATTCGATTACTCAAGTCTTTACTTATTAAATTTTGTCTTGTGTTTTGTTACCGACATTTTTTGTTTAATTAAGGTATGAAAAAAATAAAACTTCTAAATTATTTTAATGATAACCCTTTTTTCCGGGCCGAACCTCCTACGAGGTCCCCGCGCCTAGGGGACGCGCGGGGTATATGGGACTCAACGATCTGCAAGGTGTTGGGAGCAGACCGCGGGCCCAAGTAATTTTAGGGCCTGCCCACTAAACGACTCCCCTGCACTCTTACACCCGACGTCCGATCTCCGTCCAGGGTCAAAACCCGGTCAGAGTAGGGGGGTTCCCGCGGTCAACACTACAAACAGACACGCGGCGCCACCCCGAGGACGCCCGACCGACGGGTCGTCGAAGCGATAGTCGACGACCAACGACGTCGGTCTCCGCGGTACGGCAGCCTGGTAGGCCCGGGCGATGCCGCTGGTGTTCCGGGATACCCCGCTGGGCCAGAACCAGCCTGCCGGGTCGGAACGCGATACACCGCCGACCGGGCTTAGAGATAACCCTAAAGCAACTAGCGAAAT